CATGTTTCTGTCTGTGGATTCCTCTTTAATAGAGCAGAAGGAGGTAAACGGTGGGATTTGCTGTGCTGGGGTTACCAGGGTGACAACACAGACGTGCAATTGGGAGGCAATTGCCACCCCAAAACAGGAAGTGCTTTACCAATGAGAGAATCACGAAAGTAGCAAATTTGAAAAGATGGAAAATAATTTTTACAATCAAATGTTCCAGTTATGAGATTTAACTGATTGGGTTTAGATCTACTTTAACCTGGTCACATGTTACAGGCCGTGTGGCCAGTACACCAAGTCATTCATTGCTGTGGTTCAGGTGGCCAGCCACACCGCACCATGGCAATGCATCATGCTGATCTAGGGCAGTGGCGTCCAGGGCCCTGCCCAACATTGATAACAGGATGGAAGGAACCCTGTATCTGGAGTCCTCCTCTGCCCAGACCTGCTCCTCCTCCCTCCCTCCCTCTGCCATGCTGCTGCCAATGTAGAAGACATCCAAAATAGTAAGTGACATGTCTTGAAAGAAGTTCCTGATGTTAACGGGGGACTCTGATATGAAAGGGGGACTCTGATGTAAAGGTGGGACTCCCCCTGCGGCGTCTTCAGCCCAATTAATACAATTCACCCTGCTCCCTACTCTGTCCACTGTCCCTTATTTTGCCATAACAAAGGTGGAACCCTAGTCACAGTCACGTTTGGTTTTACATCTGACCCATCAGAAAAGCAGAATTGGCCAACTGTTAAGTAGTGTGAGGACCTTTCTAAACACAGCGATCAAATGAAATCCAACCAGTTGTTGGCAAATGTTGCTACTCTGACAGATCAAATCTGGAATCATATCTGGTGTTGTGTGATTCATTAATAGAGAAGCCTGCCATGGACAGTGAATGGTCACAGCAACGGGATACATTTGTCTCTTCGGATAAATGATTTCGGGGCGGAAACGCTCAGACAAGGGAGCGTGACGAGGACATAAAAGAGGCGGGAGCGGGTAGCCGAGCTGTTTAAAGAGGCTAAAAATAAATATCAGAGATGCATCAGGGAGAAAATAGAGCAAAATATAGAACCAAGAACAAAGAAGAGGAATTGGCTGAATGTGGAGCCGGACATGAGATGACTGCTCTCCAATTTGTATCCAACAAAAGCAAATCCTTTAAATTATCTCTTTTTTTCTGTCCTCCCTCTTCCAAAATCACCTTTTTTTATGATTTGTAAATACCATTTTTTTTTGTAATGAGGATATTCTTACTTCCTATTTCCTTGACTAGGCGAGAATGACATGGCCCTTCTCCACCCCCAGCCTCCTGGGATACACATCATACATTCCTTAAGATAACTATGGGGTAACCTTTTTATCCCATAGTTCTCTTAAGGGTCACAGCAGGACATATACTAACCTCCTCCCGTCACCCAAAGCTCAGTATATACTGAGAGCGCCGCAGCCGGGACAGATCCTGACAATGCTGTCGAGATCCACCCAGCTGCTTGAGTGACAGCTGGCTCTGCCAGCCGTCTGTTTCCCCACTCAGCACTGGAGGATGGGAGCGGGGAATCCCTGCAGGTAGCCATGACTGACAGTCACCGCTCTCTGCAGGGAGATGATCGGAAAGTGAGTGAGCGCCGGTATGTGTTCGCTCACTTCCCGATCTATAGAGCCGACCTGTGACAGTTTCATTGTCACACGTCGGCTCGAACTATGAGGTTGAGTGAAAATCACTCCCTTCATAGTTCTCCTTGAAGTGCCAGAATCTAACGAGATTTCTCACCTGCATACCTTACTTCTTCTAAGTCTAAGGCACATGCATAAGATCTTGCACAGAGGTCATCGGTGAGCCTGCTATGAGATGCAGGAAGAAGCTGGCCACCAATGACTTAAAAAAGAAAGTGGTATGACGTGGACAGGGTAATGGGATCTGGAACTGGAGTTATACTACTGGGTCACTAAGTATCAGGGTTATTCGCAAAAGGGTGAAGAGTTTGGAGAAGGCAGGAGAAGTGAACAATCTAGGACAACATAGCTGATTTGGAAAAACGTTGCAATGCAGCTCAGTGTCCAGCTCAGCTATGTTGTCCTAGATTGTTCACTTCTCCAAACTCTTCACCCTTTTGCGAATAGACCTGTAAGTTTTTTTGGCTTTATAGGTTAATACGATTCTGTATTGCTGAAGCTTAAAAACAAGTGTAGGGGCAAGGTCCACTTTAAAGTCAACATGTACACAACAAACTTGCACGGCCACTATACAGTAGTCACCACAAGGCATCTGTTCATACATTAACGGCTCCCATTCCTTATCCATTATTTTAAAACCGTACAAAAACCCCTAATTCTCAGAAAGTCAGAAATATTTGCATAGGACTAAGCATGTGACAGTGCTGGGAGTTCACCATAGGTCACACACCAATCACTCCATCAGTTGGTTTGAAAGGTGTTCTCTGGCACTTTATAGTT